CAGGGGTGATGGCCACGCCGCAATCCCTTCTCCTCCATTCTCCTCTCAGGATCTTGGGCACGCATGCATACGCACCCGTCATGAGTTTTAAGCCACCGGGTCCGGGACGCAAACCGTGGTCAACTAGATGGGAATCCAGTGACATAGCCATTACACTAACTGCTGGTCCCTCTTTACATTTCTTTTTAAACATCTATGAATTCATTGTGATTTTCAAGCTTCTGGCTTCAGAACTTGAACTGTAGTTGGCCACATGAGAATTCAGTGCCTCAGTCATCATTGCCTCCTGGTGGCCCCCACATTGTCTATTTTCTTAATGCAGGCTGTGTTCTTATTTTGCCATTCTCATTTACGTTTATTACCTGCCTTAGTTATTTTCTTTTTATTTTATATTGCATTGTTTTATCTTTCATTTTTCCCAGAATCTGTGTATGTCTAACTTTTAGAAAAAATACAAAACCATTACCTGGAGTTTATTTTTGGTTTCTTCTGGTTCGCTTGTACTTTCTATATTTCAAGCACTACGTTTTGTTGTTGTTGTTTTACATAACATTTTTACGGCACTTATGTTTATTTGCTTTTCATCTTTTACTTATCCTTGAACAAGGCCTTGTCTGTATAGTCCAGGATGCTTACCTATAACTTGGATTTGGGACTTCTCTCTGGTTCACCTCACTAGAGGGCAATAATGCCCCCCTCTTAGACTCCAGAAGAACATCTGATTCATAGCCCCATGGCATATTTCTGAAAGTTTTGCTTGAAGTGGATCTATCAGTCTAAAGCAGTGCTACCCATTTTGCTACCTGGTTGTCTTATTCCTAGAAAGTCTAGCATGAGAAAGTTTCCTGCTTATCCCAGTTCTACCAAACCATAATAAATTTTGTTGTGTTGATTTTATATCTTCAGATGGAGACTCCCACTCCTTATGTCTTTCTACTTTACTCACGATATCTTGATAAGAATTTTAGAGGTAGAAATCATGGACTTTAGCTCAGATGGATCTACCAAGTAGAGTAATTGAGCCCTTGCTCAGCAAGAGAGCAACCTTCCTCCAAATCTAGTTTTTAAAAATCCTGTCTCTCCTGGAAATTTAAAATAAATCTCTTGAAATTACCCTGTGTAACTTGAATATTTTTGCCTCAAATTACTTTTTCACTTTTTGTAGTGAAATCAAGTTCCTCTTGCAGTTGAGTGAATCATTAATTAATATTCATGGAATTCTTAAATTGGTGTTGTGTGCATGTGTGCTGTGATGTAAGCACATCAGTTAGGGCTTGAAAAAGAGACAGATCCAACAGGAAATGTACATGAAGATATGTGAGAGGGGAATTACTAGAAAAAATGGTCTCACACGGGAGGCCGAGAAGTCCCCCTTAGGCCATCTAAAGCTGCAGAACCAGAGAAGCTGGTAGCATGGCTCAGACTGAAAGCTTCAGAACCAGGGAAGCCACTGGTTTAACCCTTGGTCTGAGGCTGAAGAGCTAAGAAACTGTTATAGCAGGAGCAAGTCCCAAAGACCAAAGGCCAGGGAACTTAAGTTTTGATGTGCAAGGACAGGAGTGAAAGATTTCCCAGTTCCAGAGGAGAGAGAGTGAATTAGCTGTTCTCTGTCTTTTTGTTCTATCTGGGCCCCCAGCTACTTGAACGGTGCCTGCCCACATTGAGGAGGGTCTTCCCCACTCACTCCAGTGACTCACAGGCCAGTTTCCCCTGGAGATGCTCTCACTGATAGTCCCTGTATAACATTTCACCAGCTTTCCAGGTATCCCTTAATGCAGTTGAGTTGACACGTAAAATTAACCATCACAGAGTGGGTGTCTGTGTGCGCCTGTGTGCGTAAGAGTGTATGTGAGTGTGCATTTCAGAGGAATGGTGAGAAGGGTTTGATAAGGTATTCCTAGCTTTTCTCTCAGCATACTATATTCCTGTCTGGCTTGTTGAAAGTGTTCAGTATCAATTTGTTGAATGAGTGCGTGAATGATTTAGTCTCCTTTGAACATTTTAGAAGAACTCTTACTATTTTAATACGTTTTCTCCCAATATTTTTCTTGTTGGGATGTTTTGCAAAATATGTCTTAGGAATACCAAATCCATAAAAGGGGTGGTGAAAACAGGGTTCCATGGACAAATATATTTTGAAAATGCTGTATACTAAACCTTTCTCTTAGAAATTCAATGAGTATGTAAGTATATTAAGAACTCTGAGAAGAGTTTTTGATCACGGAAATCTAAAACACACTTGAAATGCTGCTCTAATCTTAACTATGTTTTTTTAACTTCATAGCATTTATTTATTTATTTATTTATTTTGGAGTGTTTTTTGCTATTGGGTGCATGTACTTGACAGAGAGACAGAAAGCAAGAAATCACCCCCCAAGGGGGATGGCCACGCCACAATCCTTTTTCTCCATTCTCCTCTCAGGATCTTGGGCATGCACACACAGGCACCCAGTGTGAGTTTAAGACACTGGATCTGGACCCAACCATGGTCGACTACATGGGAGTCCAGTAACATAGCCATTATGCCAACTGCTGGTCCCCCTCATAACATTTATTGTAGATTTTTTTCTATGAAATAAACTTTAATTTTTTTAATTTGAATTGTTCTTTTTTAGTCAACTAAAGAGATGTAAGTTATGACTAAGTATGATTAAATGTTCCAGGTTTAAATCAGTAATCCTAAGTCAGATTTTTTTCTTATTTGATGTTTTGAGCAAGATATGATCTTCATGACCTTTTAAAAATGTTTATTTTGAGGGCATTCAATTAGTTTTTTTTCCTTTTTTTTGAGAGTTTTTTTTTTTTTTGCTGTAGGGTGCATGCGTTGCCAGAAAGAGACAGAAAGCAAGAAATCACCCCCTAGGGGGAACAGCCATGCTGCAATCCCTTCTTCTCCATTCTTCTCTTGGGATCTTGAGCACGCGCCTGGCAAATGAGTTTAGGCCACTGGGTCTGGGTCTTGAACCGCGGTCGACTACGTAGGAGTCCAGCGACATAGCCATTACACTAACTGCTGGTCCCTAAATTAGTATATTTTTTTAAAAAGTATATATGTTTTATTGAAGTACTGAGCTGAAAGGGCCCTTCATTCTACAACATATAAGCATTTTGATATTTACCCTGAGCTCAATAAAAGAGATAGCTTGTTCTTACTCGTAGTTTTAATATCATTTGTTAATCTATGAAATAAACCTTGGGACCAGCAGTTAGCGTAATGGCTATGTCACTGGACTCCCACATAGTTGACCGTGGTTCGCAACCTGGACCCGGTGGCTTAAAACTCACGCCAGGCGCGTGTGCGTGCATGCCCAAGATCCTGAGAGGAGAATGGAGAAGGGATTGCAGCATGCCCATCCCCCCTGGGGGGTGATTTTTTGCTTTCTGTCTCTCTGTCTCTCTGTCTGGCGAGCGCACATGCCCTATAGCGAAAACCTCTCCAAATAAATAAATAAATAAATAAACCTATATCTGGGTGAGGTAGGAAAGCTGACTAATTTTCAGTTTCAGAGTAATAAATCAGTCTTTGTATTTCAACTTTATTTTTCTTTAAAATAAGAGCTGGCCAAAGCGCAAGTCATATACATATATTTTTTAAGTTTACTTATTTATTTTATGAGGGTGAGAGAGAGAGAGAGATTCGGAGATAGACAGACAGACTGACTAGCACCCCCAACAGCGTCTCAGGCTATGATCTCCATGCCTGTGCCAGTCTCTGAGGCTGATCAGAATCATAGATGCAGACACCTGGTGTGTGAGGTCAGCTGGGGAGCAGAACCTGAGACCTTCCGTGTGGAACCAGCATCACTTAAGTAGCACATTACTGTTGTACCACTGGGTGGCCATATCTTTTCTTTTGACTCTATCACATGAAATGCAAATGAGCTTTACAAGTACAACTGTTCACTGGTTAAGAAACCTATTCTGTTTTTGTTTGTAATTAATGCTTCTACACTTGCTTTAACATTCTTCCGTATCCAAATAGTTCCACATTGTTTTCTCCTCACATCTTTTTTGTATGATTAGTAATTTTGTTTTGTTTTTAAAATTTGATTAGAATTGTACCAAGTTAGAAGTTTCTTTTAAAGAAAAGTTTTGGGGGAGGCCAGCAGGTGGCATAGTGGTTAAGGGTGCTGGACTCCCACATGGCCAGCCTCAGTTCAAGGACCTGGCAGCTTGCTTTCTCACTCTTTTTCTCTCTCTCTGTCCCTCGCTCATCAAATTAAAATAAATAAACAAACAAATAAATAAAGTTAAATGGAATAATTCTTTTTTTAAGAAATGTTTGATTTTAGAGGCTTTTAAAATAATACATATTTTAAAGTTTATTTTTATTTTTTAAGAGATATTTTTGCTATAGGGCACATGTGCTTTCTTGAGAGACAGAGATAGAAAGCGAGAAATCACCCCCTCCACCTGGAGGGATGGCCACACCACAGTTCCTTCTCTCCCAGTCTCCTCTTGGAATTTTGAGCATGCACACACAAGCATCTGGCATGAGTTTGAAGCCACTGGGTCTGGGACTTGAACCATAGTTGACCACATGGGAATCCAGTAATGTAACCATTATGCCATCTGCTGGTCCCTATTTTTAAGGTTTATTTATCCACTTTTCTGTGAAGGAGAGAGACAGAGTTACAACAACCCCAGAAGATCTTCTTGCTATGATCCTCGCTTAGCCAGCCTGGGTCATAGGCACATGCATGCCTGGCGTGCTAAGGGATGGAACTCAGATCCTTCCCATGTTGGTCTGCCTTGCAAAAAAACAAAACAAAACAAAACAAAAACCCAAAACCAAACAAAATAAAAAAGAAAGAAAGGAAAAACAACAACAGAAACCTAGAAATGTTATTTTAGCATTATATTACTAAAACAGTATGACCGACAAAATCCTGTTTTCAACAATTCCCAAAGAAAAATGAAGTAAAAGATAAAGAAAATTGACTGAGCATTTATATTCATTGTAGTAAATGAAATTCTAACTTCGGTTTTATCTTCAACAGACAAACAACAGAAAGGTGAATTTGCAATAGATGGCTACAGTGTCAGAATGAATAACACCCTTAGGAAGGATGGAAAGAAAGATTGCTGTTTTGAAATCTCTGCCCCTGATAAACGTGTCTATCAGGTTGGAGTTTTATGTTGCCTTGAAATTAAGTTGATAAAATGTCCCGATTTCATTTATGAAGACATTAACATTTTGTTAAAACAACTCTCCTGACATGTTAATAAGAGTAAAAAATATTGGTTTTTGTACATTGAGCATTCAAAAAAGAGGAAATGCATTTTTTCAAAAATTCAGATTAATTCAAGTGATACCTTTTTGAAAAAGACCAAGTGAATATGTAATTTATCAGATAATTGACAGGCTACATTTTCTATCTATTTTAATAGAGCTGTGTGATTTCCTAAAAGAATTACATACCAGAAAGAGTAAAATTATCAAAAGAAAAATATCAGGGCGCTGCTGCATATTGTATTGCTTAGGGGTGTGGGAGAAAATGAAGGTAAAGGCACATACCAGCTCTGCAATTCAGGAGCTATCAGCTGGGCATCAATATGGAATGTATGTTTAATAAGTTTTAAATATCTGAGATTGCAGTTGAAAGCCAGTTAATTAAGTTGTCAGGTAGTGTGTTGGAATCTGACAAGAACATTTTTAAGAAAACTGTACCCAGCAGTCTAAAGAAATTCATGGGTGTCTTCTAATTGTCAAGGGCAAATTTTGTTCATCAGTTCTGTCTTTGACATTGATGAAGAGAAGCAGCTTTTTTTCCTACACAGCTGCCAGCTGCTGATCAGAGTCTCAAATCCATCATCCTCTGCTTCAATTACGTAAATTTGTCAAAATTAACTCTACATTATAAGAAGCATCCTTGCAAGAAAAGTACCACTAGACATGAAAAGAATTACTAATGGTCTTAAAGAAATGATAAGAATGCGACATACCTTTTATTCTACTGTGGTGATTTTTTTGTTCTTATTTTCTTTCTTTTTTTTTTTTTTTTAATTAGTTTACAGCAGCTTCTCCCAAAGATGCCGAGGAATGGGTCCAGCAGCTGAAATTTGTCTTACAAGGTAAGAACATCATTTGAGCACGTTCTCCCAGTCTTTAAGTACTGAATCACTGCATGATTTGGATTTTCATATTACAAAAGCTTGTTGACTTCCGTGAGTGTGACCAAGGGAACATACTTGTTATTAACACAGATCATTCACTTCAGATTTATAAAAGCATCTATGCTATAAGTACCATTTGGCAACTTTAACATTCACATATGCAAAACAATCCGTTTTTTAAAATGCTTGAAATGTAGGATAGTAGCACAGAGCACTATTGTTACTTGGTAGGGCTGAGTTTATTTAGGAAACAGTTTTAAAAATCTCTCATGTATTCTTTTAAAACTGGCTTCATGAAACATGTTTCGTAGATATGGAATCTGATGCTATTCCTGAGGACGATGATGAAAGAGGAGACTTATATGATGATGTTGATCATCCTCTGCCAATCAGCAGTCCACCAACAAGCAGTCAGCCAATCGATGATGAAATTTATGAAGAACTTCCAGGTATTTACTTTCTAGTATTCATTTAAAGATTTTAGAGTGTGTGTGTGATTTGTTTGCCAGGTTGACAACTTCAGTAAAATATGGTGAGCTACTAAGAACAAGGACAAAGAAAATATTCACAACTATTTTGTGAAGAAAAGGGTTCTGCTTCAAGTATTTCGAGTGAGTGGATGTACACTTATGAAGAGTGAATGGAACATTAAAATGAAGCACATACAGTCCTAATCTCTTGGGACTTTTGGCTCATTAGCATTGTTTATGCTACATAATTTTTTAATTAAAAAATTGACTTGCCTTACAGTTTTTTTCCACCAACTCACACATCATTTTTTCTTTATACATCTTGGAACTTGCATTAACCAGAAGTTCCATGCACACCCCATATGTCATCAACTTCTGCCTCATATATTCCTTTTTGCTGTAGTGGATTGCGCCGTCTTGGAGAATGTTAGTGAACTATAAACAAAAGCCTTTTGAGGCCCAAAGTTTTCTTATTGATATTTTAGTATGGAGATGAAATAAAAAAGTTTTCCTGTTCTAAAGTTTTAGAATCTGTGATATTATATAAAACTAATTTATTTTGACTTGTAATTTTGTGAATCAACCTAAAATAGAAAGGTAGGCCTCTCAAATTTAGGATACTTAGAATATGAAAACATTCAGGGAATTAATTATATTATTAATACTCCATATTGAAACGTGCCTTCTTCTGGCTATTGAGAAAACAGTAGTTAGAAAAGAAAAAGAGATTGTAAGCAATAAAGTGAGATTTAATTAACATCTCATGTAGAGAGGCTATTTTTCTCTGTGTGGAACAATTTAATGATATAACCTTTAAGATTGATTTCAAAAATATTTAAAGTGTTAACACACAGCTGTCATTTTTAACACAGTAAAACTTAATAACTAACGCATGGACTTTAGAGGTAAGAAACTTAATTCTGACTGTGTGACATACTAGCTTTGTGACTTTATAAGTTAACTTCTTCATCTGTAAAATGGGGATAATATTATTAGGGGATAAATGAGGTAATGAGATCAAAGACTTTCAGCACAGTACTTGAGGCATATAGCAAGCCCACACTCAATCGTAATACCATCACGATGATTATTTTCATTATTATAGTTGGTGAATTCTCACAAGTGTTTGTATGAAGATACATAGTTTTTTCTAATGAAATAAAAATTAATAATTATATAACATAAACTCAAGATATGTAAGAACTACATGTGCATCTACACATTATCTTTCATTATCCTAGAAGAAGATATTTAGTATAAAACTATAATTTTGGGGACCAGCAGTTAGCATAATGGCTATGTCACTGGACTCCCATGTAGTTGACTGTGGTTTGAGTCCCAGACCCAGTGGTTTAAACCACGCCGGACCTGTGTGTGTGCGTGCCCAAGATCCTGAGAGGAGAATGAAGGAGAAGGATTGCGGCATGGCCATCCCTACTGGGGGGTGATTTCTCGCTCTCTGTCTTTCTGGCGAGTGCACATGCCCTATAGCAAAAACCTCTTAAAAAAAACCCTGTAATTTTGTAGGGAATGGTAATTTGTATATGTCTGTTATTTAGTAGAACTCTGTGTTCATAGCCCCTTCTTTTCTGGCTTATCCTAAGGAAATGGCATCAGCATAGCATTGATTATCCATCCTCAGGCTGGGGAGAATAGTTTCTGGTTGCTACTTTTTAGTCACATTCTATCATTTAGGCAATTATTTTAGTCTTTAAAATGTGTGAATGAACTTGTGAGAATGTATGCTGATATAAAACGGGGAGTGTGGTGCCTTTAAACATGATATTACTGTCATATACATTTCTTCCCTTTAAAGTCCTGCAGTGACTGTGTTATATAACAATTGTCGAATTCACTAAGTTCTGTGTTATTTCAACTTGACTATTCTCTCTCCCCCTCCATATCAATCAGGAAAAAAAGATAAAAATATTTTTAGCTCTTTTAATAATAAAAACCTGTGGAAGATCTCTTGTAAGTGGCTTGAAATTTTAAAAGTATGGAACATCTATTATTTTTTCTCTCACTACAGATGTTCTTTTTTTTTTTTTTTTTTGGCCACATAATTGTTGGCAATAACTGGTTACTCTTTAAATAGTGTTACTTCTTGCTGTGGGACTGGGAGAAATTTAAGCTGCTCTGGGATTTCTTTGCTCCTGCCTGGGATCCCCAGTTGCTGTACAAAGTGATTGAGCTTGATAGAGCCTGCAACTGTGCCCCCGGGAAGGAAGCTGTTGCAGGCAGCTGTGGAATGTCTAGTTCTTCTTTCTTCCCCAGAGTGGCCAAGAGCTGCTTCCACATCTGCACCGTTCAGCAAGTTTGTCGAGTTTGGGCCAGCAGCCACGGAGGGGATTTTCCTTAGTGGAGGCTCTAAAGTTTCACAGTTAGAGGTTTTGTTTGATTTTAAATATCTAAAACTAGAAGAGTAAGTTTTTAAATTAAAAAAGTCATCTCTCTTTCGGGACAAGAATTAAAATGATTACTTCTGTGAAATTTGAGTATAATTTCGAGGTGGAAAGGCATTGAGCATATTTTCAAACTGTTGGTATTTTTCCAGTTCTGTATAAAGATCTTTGAATCTGACTGATTAGGTTACCAGAATTAAGTAATACTATCATTTCAACACAATTTTCTTTGGTCAATTACAAATTGTTAAAACTAATCTTAGTTGGAAGATGAGGCATACCGATGTATTTGAGGACAAACTTAAGCATCAATATACTATTTTAAATCACAAAGACTTCTTTCTCAGAAAATAAAGTTCTTACTAGTTATTAAGTTTTTTTTTTTGAGAGGTTTTTTTTGCTGTAGGGTGCGTGCGCTTGCCAGACAGACAGAGAGAGACAGAGACAGAAAGCGAGAAATCACCCCCCAAAGGAGATGGCCACACCGCAATCCCTTCTCCTCTATTCTTCTCTCGGGATCTTGGGCACACACGCACACACGCCCAGTGTGAGTTTTAAGCCTCTGGGTCCGGGACGCGAATTGCGGTTGACTACGTGGGAGTCCAGCGACATAGCCATTACGCTAACTGCTGGTCCCTTAAGTATTTTTTTTTGAAAAAGATGTACAATAAACTTGCAGTGGTTAAGTCTCAGGAGTAACCCAAAATATTCTTTGGAAAGTTTATAGTTCTATGAGAGTGTAAAGAGTTTTATTATAATTGTTTTTCGGTTAGAATATGGTAACTTTATTACAACACCTTGTCTTTAATTTCTAGTTCATTAATTTTTAACTACATAAAGGCATACGTTTGTAAGATTTCTTTGTGTTTAGGGGCTTTATATATATGTTCAGAAGAGTTGAGAGAATGTCATTCCTGGAGAGTATTAAAGGTATTTGGCTTTCCTTCAAATAACACTAATGCTTCATATCTTTTATGTTTTAGTACTTATTAGCATAGGCCAGTCAGATTTGCTTACATTGTGATATTACTATAGGGTATTTGTGTTTACACAGCTAGTATATTGACCCAAAAGTGTTACACTGTTTCATAACACAGTAATGAGTTCATTTAGCTTAGCATGGATTTCAGAATTTATTACTCATTTTTTTCATAAGAAATACAAAGAAGTATTTTTGTTGGAATTTTGAGTCTGGAAAAGGAAAAACAATATTTGGAAAATAGTTGCAGGGACTAGCAGTTAGCATAATGGCCATGTCATTGGACTCCCATGTAGTCGACCATGGTTCAAGTCCCAGACCCAGCGGCTTAAACTCACGCCAGGCGCGTGTGCATGCATGCCCAAGATCCCAAGAGGAGAATGGAGGAGAAGGGATTGTGGCATGGCCATCCCCCCTGGGGGGTGATTTCTTGCTTTCTGTCTCTCTGTCTCTGTCTTTCTGAAGAGCACACACGCTCTATAGCAAAGACCTCTCTGAAAAAAGAAAAAAAAAAAAAAAGAAAGAAAGAAAATAACTGCAGAAATCAGCCCAGCTTGCTCTTCTACTGACCATGTCACTTGAATTTTTTTTCCCCTCTAATGCAGGAAATTGTGCAGAAACAACAACAAAAAGATTTTTCTAGGTATAGACTGAGTATGATCAGCCCAGTAACAGGAATGGTAACTGCTTATTAGTTTATGAAATCTGTGGCTTTCAGGGAGAAGTACTTGGAATGTTTCCTGGCAAGTGTACTGGAGGAAAAAAGGCAGCATAAAACAGAAAGACAAATTTTTATTCCATTAGTCTATTTAAAAAAAAATACTATTTAATTTTATTTATTATTTAAAATTTACTTCAGGACATGTGTACTCATCAGAAAGAGACAGAGAGAGAGGGAAAGTGAGAAAGCAAGCTGCCAGGTCCAGGACTTGAACCACAATTGACCATGTGGGAGTCGAGCACCTTAACCACCACACCACCTGCTAGGCCCATTAACCTATTTTTTAAAAGGATGAATTAGTTTGTTTTCTAATGCAGTGACAGATTCAACTATTCTAAGAAAAGGATGTTTTTATCCTTTGGTCATTCAATTACATATTAAATTTATTCAGTTGAATATCTGAATCTAAAATGGAATATAAAATGAAATGTACCTATACATTTTTTTTTGAGAGGTTTTTGCTATAAGGCGTGTGTGCTCACCAGACAGACAGAGACACAGAGACAGAAAGCGAGAAATCACCCCCCCAGGGGGGATGGTCACACCGCAATCCCTTCTCCTCCATTCTCCTCTTGGGATCTTGGGCACGCACGCACATGCACCCGGTGTGAGTTTTAAGCCACCGGGTCCGGGACGCGAACCACGTTCGACTATGTGGGAGTCCAGCGACATAGCCATTACACTAACTGCTGGTTCCCCCTATAAATTTTTTTCAATGAAACTGTTATATATACATAAACAAGAACAGTGTTTGGGTACTTAAATTTGTACTATCTAACAAGTGAACAGAAATGCTAATTTAATCAATAAGTGGTTTTGAACCTTCAAAACATATTTGAACTTTATTTTCTTTCTTACTAATTATCACTCATATTGG